TGCATCCATAGTGTTGACAACATATGAAAAAATCCATTGTTTCCTAGTAGGATATCCATCCTTCATATTTCAATTATATGAATTGGTATATCACCTAATTATATATAAATATCATAGCAAGGTGAATGGAGCTTATATTTAAGTTTATCTATGTTAAATATGATTAAAACTACAATCATTTTGATACTTTATAATAACTAACAAACTTCTTATAACTTAATTTAATTTTAAATATTAATTAACCAATAAAATAAAATTCTAGAAAGTATAAAATTTAAAGTAGGCTATAATTACCATTTAGTTATCAATAAGATACTCTGATTGAATGACATTTTCTTATTATAAATACTCAAATGGTATTCATATTATTACATTATACCAACAACAAAATTATATACTTTTAATCCTTGTTTATATTTATAAGTTACATTAAATGTTCAAGATAAATCTTACATAAGTGTTTATAAGTTATCTTTAAACCTCAAAAAAATATGTAATTTAGCATTTTTAAAAATGTGATTTATAGAGCCCAAGTTTTGAACAAATCTGTTCAAGTATTAGGTACCTAAGTGTATTGAAATAATATTTTTATAACAACAATAGGCCATCATAATTAAATGTTGATGTTTTTTTAAAAATTGAAAGTTATTTAAGTTAAAAATTATTTTAAGATAATTAAGAAAGCAATACCTAAATATATTATTTTCCTATTTTCAATACATTACCTAAAAAGTTAGGAAAACTCTAGTTTAGACAAAATTTGAACAATTATATTAACAGAATTAGTAACCTACAAATCCAAAATATAAAATACCTTTATACACAAAACATGTGGAGTTATACCATAATAGTTTCTAAACCTAATATGTATATAAATATACATTTAGTAATAAACAAAATACCTATTTGTTTCTAGCAACGACTCAAAAGTGCACATATCGACAACCGGAATTATTAGTGATTACTAATTATATGTAATTACAAAAATATTTTAGCTCACAGATAATTATTAAAAATGGTATGTATAGCAGTCAAACAAAACACCATCGCACACTTAATAATCCGCAATATATTTTTATGCAATGTAGATCGGGACATAGAAAAAGTAGAACCTAATATTTTATTACAATATTTATATATATATTACCATATTGTTGTCTCTTGGGGGACCACCTTTGCGGTCTCTATTCGGTCCACCGTACGGTTGAAAGCGATTGCCTCTTCCACCACGGCCACCGCCGTGGAATTCTTCTTTCGGCTTATGGTTGGCATTTGGACCATGGTGTGCGTTTGGCCCGTTTAACGACGTGTCACTGATCTTCTCCTCTTTGACTTGCGCCATTGCGTTAGCTATACAATATTGAGTCAAATTATAACAATCGAATGACTCGGCAGGGATGATTCAGTGAAAGACTGACAGTTATTCCTCTAAAACAGCTGAAGCGACAAATCAAACGGGTAATGCGAAATGAAGAGAAGAGATGAAAGACGAGAGTTAGAAAACACAAGAATATGACGTACGGACAGGTAGAGGGTCGATTGTCAAATAAAATGGCCGACTATAGTTCAACACTAAAACATAGATACATAGACGGAGTGGTGCATATGGTTTTTTATAAATGGATAGGAGGTGGGTGCAGTAAACGCTTTTCGGACGGATGAAGAAAAATGACGCCGTTACCGGTACAGTGTTGCCAATGGTAGACGGAATTTGGGTATTTTTCTCGAAAATAACTGGAAGAAAAAATATATAAGCTACACATCATTGTAAATTTATATGGTTGTAGGCCGATTCCAACACATCGGTTTTTTCCATGACCAATCATGATACAACATGCCGGTATGATCCATTATAATATGTTTGTATGTTATACTATATAATATTAATTTATGAGCTGAGAGTTTGTTTTTTTAAACGCATTTCTTTCCTACATAATATATAATGATATATAGTAACTTTTTGACGGCTAGATCGTAAATTCTAAGAGCTTTATAAATAACTATTTATTACCGTAAGCACCACAAACTATTTTTTTTATAAATATCTTAGTTCATGATAGCACTTGACGTCAAAAAAAAACCGCGATATTTAAATCTGTTAATTATAATAACTAATTACAATAAAAAGTAAAAAAAGAATTTTATTCCTGTTCTCTATATTTTTACTTTGTATTTCATGAAATACTCGTTTGATTATCTTTTTTAATATATACAAATCACAGCTATAAAATTATTTATAATCATAGAACCAATACAAGTTTGACAACTGGTTATAAACGTTTAAGTCATAACACTCATAACTATCAATTGCATTAAATCTTTGTTGAATGAAATATTTATTTTTAATCAGCAAGTACCTTTATAATATATTTGAATACCTAGGTTAGGTTCGAATTTTGAAATAAAAATGATTTTCGACGATAACAACAAAAAGTGAAGCCAGTAACTCAATCTTAATATCAAACTTAGAAGTAAGAACATAAATATTAATTACATTATATACAATTAATAATTATAATGAATAAAAATGTATGTATATAGAATAATAAGATAGGTATAATAATAAATAATATAATATTATTATTCCCGTCAGATGGGATCATGTAAAATAATATGTTATAGGTACATTTATAAATTATCAATAATAATAATGGTAGTATGCATTAATAAAATCATAGATAATAAATAATAATCCTTATTATCTACGCGTACTTACAATAATAGCATTTAAAATGTATTGCATATACCTATACAATGATTTGTACCATCGATAATAGTACTATAAACCTAAAGCCATTATGCCAAAGTAAATAAAACATATTTATTAGTAATAGGAATCTATAAATAATGCATTAATTTTACATCATTTCTTTATAGTTCATACTGTTCATAGGTACTTATTTTAAATTCTGAGGGGAACAATAAATTTATTGATTTTAAAATGATATGTTTGTGTTATTTCCTCATCTATCATTATTCATTACCTATTGAGATTGTAAATTTAAATATATTTAAATAATTATAATTTTCCATATACCATTAAATTTTAAAAATATCTTGATTAAATTTAAGCTATTTAAAAGTTATAACATGAACCTATTCACATCGTTCTGCATATAACTACGTTGCAGATATATACCTATATCAACATATTACATATTGTTTAAAATTAATAATTTTATCCAAGTAATAACAACTTCAGCTAATAATAATATACTGCAGTAAAATAATAACGTAATAATTAATTTATGTAGATAATTATGTGTAATAAATATAAATACAATTTATTTTTTGCAAAAATTAATGTAACCAACCTTATAATATTATTTATATTAAAAATAAATAACTAATAGCAATATGATAAAATACAATCAAATATATTCTTAGAAAGTTAGAAATATATAGGCTGATTTGTCTTAAATCAAAATCGTTTTTCGTATAGCTGGGTATGTAAAATAAAAATATATAAAAGACTAGGTAAACTGAGTCTTTACACCAGCTCTATTGATATCTATTATACCTAGATATGTAAATGTTCCTATTCAGTATCTGCAGATTATCAGATTGTCACCAAAGTTGTTCTTATTATATTGAAAAGTACTAGTCATTTTTTACTTTTAAAAACCAAAGTACCTATTAACCATAATAATGTAATGTTTTTCAAGCTAATTTATTTCACACCCACTTTGTAGATTTTCAAAAATCTCACGCATCTTCTCCCTCTCACCACTCATAAAAAATTGAAAAATGTATTACCTTTTTTTTAATTTTCTTATACAAATTTTACGTATTGATAACTACTTGCGCCTCTTCAGCAATACATTCATGCCGCATTGTCACTCCTCCCCAAAGAGGCGTATCCCTTTGCAAGTTGGAAAACACTTAACTTTAGACTCAACACTCAGATTTTTAACCGAAAAAATATGCATTCCCAAAGACAAAAGTTGTAAATTAAAGTATTTTTGTTAATATAAAAATTATAAAATAAGAACAACAGACCTTGTATGTCTGCATGTATACCTACATAATCGAATTTATTATGACACTTTTTTTTTTACATGGCTACAAAGATATTGTGATTTTAAATACATTCAGTGACTCCTTAAAAACGATTTTATTATTATTATTTTTTTTTTTTTGAAATAACAAAGTCTTCGTGTAGTTGTGTTTCCACTTAATTTAACCGTTTATATTATTTTATTTTAAACTTCTTGGTTTTTGGCAGTCACCATACATTATAAATTTATAATCAACCACTGAACCACCTAATACATAACAAAATTACAGAGGCGTAATAGTATTTTAATTTTTTTCAATTCAATTAATAAGAAATAAACAAATACAATATGTATTGATAATGAATTTTAAAATATTAGATTCTGGTAGTGAAGCAAATTAATATTGATTTTATAAAATTTATTTTATATATATATATTTAAAGTTTCACAAAAATTACGAACACGAATTTTTAATAATCATGAAACTTACATACATAGGATACAGGTATATAAATAAGTTAAATTGTTTATTATATTTTTACTTTTAGAATTTTGATAAATTTATAACTTCTGAGCCTCTTAGAAAATAGAAGCCTAAGATCTTGAAATTTTATCTAAAAAAATCCATTTTTTAGTTCAGTGTTAATGTATTGATAAGCACATATCTACCCGTAAATATATTTTTGGACTTAGAAATTATTAAGATTTTATGTATTAACTGGAAAACATTTTTTGAAACAGTTTAAATTTCTTTAACTTGTTCAGTTTATCTTAGAACTTAGCAACCTGGCAACCGTTAAGAGACGGAAAACTGAGTGCAATGGGTTAAATTAGGCAATATGTTTGTTATTAAGATAAAAAAGGGTGCTAGTGTAGCGTGCGATCTACCAGCTTGTTTTTGGAAATATAAAATTTAAAATTTAAAATATAAAAATTACCCACATAAAATAAGTTTTGTTTTAGACAATTTAGTTGTCGTTAATTATATGTATGTGGTATCTTCTAAAAATGCAATGAACAAATCTGGTTGAATTTTCCGCCACGTCTTCCAGCAATACTGATCCAAATGTGACTGAAGCATATATTATTCACATCTTTTAAAATTTGGTGTTCTCGTAAGAATGCAGTGCACGCATACTCTGAACTTGCAACACGAATATAAAAATATTTGAGAAGCATGACGGAACTACTTAAAAAAAAACAAAAAAATGACGGAAATAAACGAAAATAATGACGGACAAGGACTATGTACGTCGTCGAAATTGGAAAACATACTAAATTATTATCGACTATCGGAGACGAAATATAACGTTAACGTTGTTAAATTACGGATAAAGAACTGGAGTAGGTAATGGGTAGATCACAGGTAGAGCACACGTAAGCGGTAGATCGCACGCTACACTAAGCATCTAAAAAAGATTTTAACGTATAAAATATGTAGAGAATAGGTAATTTTAATAAAGGATCCCCAAAATTTGTATATGCATAGATAATACATGGGCATATACAACTCTAAAAATTTTAGCGTCAAACCTTTTATACTGTACTAGTTGAATTTTGAATTACCCAGCTTCGCCCGTGTGTAGTTTGTGCTTTCTTAAAATTTTACTTAATTTTATCAAGTGCTAAATAGGAGTAGTAGCTGAATTATAACTAAAACAAAACTATAATTATCACTCGTAGGAGTATTTGATACATATAACTTAATGAAAAAAAATTGGAAAAATGTTTAATAGTGTCGTCATAAAACGGGAACATAAAAAAGGGCTGTTCTTTTATAATTTTATATAAATACATAAACATAAGGATAATTATTTACCTGAAAATTATTTAATAATAGGAATATGAAGAATCGTGTTATACAGTATACCAGACAAAATGTTATAGTAACAATTATTTTTATTGCGTGATTAGTCCATGGGCGTATATATTTTAAATCTATGGCTTAATCAATCCAAAACAATGACACAAATTAATTATGGGCTTTGACAATTTGACCATGTACGTACTTTTATTGATAAGCTAGTTATAACAAAAACAAACGTACCTACCATTTTAATAAATAACAAAAAGAGTGTTATAGTAATGAAGTAATCACTTACAATTATTCTCTAAGGTAAGTTTTTTTACTTCATTATACTGTCTACCTTATACACAATATGATTGTTTTGAAATTATTTTTTTGTACAAATAATCATAGCAGTTACTACTTAGTACCCACGATAAGTAAACGATAAAATGCTTCAATCTTAAAGTTTGAGAGTTATTTTGGATAGCCAATTGTGTGTAATTTGTATATAGACATATAGTACAAAGTATAAACTTTTAAAACTTGTACTTTACTTAAATTGTCAATAATAAAAAATCCTATATAGTATATTTTAAATAATTGGAAAAATTAAAAAATTAAAGAAAAATGGTTGTTTTTACGGTTAATTAATTTTATTGTTTAGTTATAATTCAATAAAAAATAACTGTAGAAACTTAAAATGTTTACCTTATTTTAATTGAAATGTACGAATAAAAAAAAAATTCTATCGAAAGTAAAATTAATTTTTTATGACCATTTAAAATTCAAAGTTTTACCATTTAATAATTATTTTTATCAAACCATTTTTGTTTTATGTTATAACTTAACATTAGGTAGATACTTAGAAATTTCACCAAATATATCTATATTTTATGTTAGCAATTTTCAATGTTCACCATTAGTAGATACAAAATTTTACGCCGTAATCGATTTATCTTATCTTTATTTTAGTTATTATTTAATGTCAACAAAATTATTTTTAATATTTCTAGTTCGACAAAATATTATTTACACATTTTTTTTTTTTAATTTTCACTTTAGTATACTATACTTTTCAAATCATTAAATATGTAGAAATATTCAAGAAAAAATTTCACCATTAAATTCAAATTATTATGATTCGTGAAAATAACTGACCAATATCCAAAAAAGTGAAAAGGAAAAAAATATGCAATTGCATATTTGTTATCACAGTTACACAATTAATATGAATCGATAAACTAAACATTTTATTTTGTACTTATTTTTAGTGTACTATACTTTTATCGTTTTTCGATAATATTGTCAAATTGAATACCTACACTGTACTTTATACATTAATATTTAGTTATTTTTATAAAAGCTTAGTTAAACACTTACCATTGAACAACATTTTTAATTTATCTTTAAAATTTTAAAGATTTTTATTTAAATTTTGAATAATGGGGTACATTAACATTATATTCAAGTATCAGATATGGTTAGGTAAGTATATATCAAAGTTAACTAGATTATATTATAATGAACAACTCTTGTAAATAAAAATTGATTTTCAAAATGAAGTATGTTCGATGATTGTAATTATTTTGCAATGTAAGATACTGTGTTAATTAATTAAATATGTTAAATGACAACAAACACATTACACCCGTGCAGAAGTCTCATATAAATCGATATGCATACCATTTTTTTTTTATGCTGGGAACTCAAATGTGAAAAACGCGCGACAAGCTTAAAAACCATATCACCTCTCAATTCGTATGAGAATTTTGCAAAAAAATATAGTTTGAGTATTTATTTTTACATTCAAGATAATATTTTAAGAATATTTTGAATGAACCAACCATAGACTATGGAATGAACTTAGTTTTTGAAGAAGAAAAAAATTTCAAAATAATGTTCATTGGACTACCACTGCTACAACTGTCTGTCGTCTGATTCGGGTGATTCCACAGTGAGTAAGCTTAGAGTTTAATTAGTTTATACTACTTTATTACTACAAAAAAAATAAAATAGTCTTATTTAGAAACACTGTATGATAGCACAGAATATGAAAAATATAAAAATATGATGATAGCCGGTACTTCTGGTATTTTAGTTTCTTATCAACTTGGTCATACTGTTAAAAGATTCTAGAATGTTCCATGTTCGAACATGATTTAATTCTTTCATTAAACTATCACAATATAAGCACCATTCTACCGCAGCTGTAGTCTACTGTAGTAGTGTATTGCTGTATTACTATTTTCTGTAATTTTGTTCCACGGGGTACTCCAAAATTAATCGTTATTCGTCAATCGTTTCTATTATTCTGCGCCGAATATCTACGCAAAATACATCTACTAGTAAAATCACTATCTGATTGAGTATTTTCAGTTATACTCATTAATTTATAAGATTTTAATTCATAGTAAGAATTTTATCATTATTTTATTATTTAGTGTGTTGTACTTATTACTTATTATGTGAACGATTCATCAAACTTTTCTGATTTAATTGTATTATTTAAGTACATCATTAATATATAATTGTATTTATTAATTTTGTAGATGGCTAAATGGGGTGAAGGAGATCCACGGTGGATTGTTGAAGAACGTCCGGACGGCACTAATGTAAACAATTGGCATTGGTAATTTGTTAAATTATTTTTATGTATTTTCTGTAATTTAATACTTTTTGTGTTTAGATTTGTTTTTAATCTCTAAATAATTATATTATTATTGTAAATGTTCAATCTATGTTATTATTCTTGATATAATACCTATCATCAATAATAAATTTGAAAAAAAACTTGAAATATGGTAATTAGATAGTTAATTTTAAAATTAAGTTCAGTTAATGAACTATATTTTATGCATCATAAAATTATCAAAAAGGTCAAGTTTCTGTTCTGACCAAAATAAGATTTTTTTTTGTATTCAATTTAATTATTGTTTTGATAAAACATGTTTAGATATTATTTTAACTAAAGTTTTATACATAAGGCAATTAATAATAAAACTAAGGTTTGTTTATTTTTATTTTTTAGGACAGAAAAAAATGCATGTCAATGGTCTAAAGACAAACTTAATGCCTTATTAGTTGGTATGGTATTAGAAAATGATGTAGCTAAGTGTGAGATTGCTAAGATCGAAAGTTGTGAAGGAGAAGCTGTTGCAAATAATAGAAAGGGCAAGCTCATATTCTTTTATGAGTGGGATTTAACTTTAAATTGGAAAGGGCATTTAAGTGGTGCAGAAAAAGAGATAGAGGGCACAATAAATATACCAAATTTAAGTGAAGAAAATAGTGTAGCTGAAATTGAGGTATAAATGCTAATTTTTTTGTAACTTAAGTGTTCATTATATCCTTGTTTGTAATTTCAATAATATGTTATACTTTTCAACTTAATTATGAATTAATTACTCTGTTAACAGATAAATATTTCATTGAAAGAGCCGTCAAATGAAGCAACAATAGTTAAGGATTTTCTTTATCACCAAGGACGTAGTAAAATTCGAGATCAACTTGAAAAATATATAAAGGATCTTAAAGAAGGTATAAATTTAGTAGTAAATAATTAATATTTCAAAAAAATTTTAATTAGATACTACTTACTACTAATAATTTTATAATTAAAAAAAAATATTTAAAATATTGATAACTATATTTAACTTATAATTTTGAAATATTTATTTGAATTTTACATTTTTTAAAATTAGGTCTAGTTCTAAACATTTAGATTTTAGTTTTTTTTTATATATATATATTCATTATTTACAGAGTAGTTCTTAAATAAATTTTCTCAAACTTGGAAAGCATCCTATGTGTATTATGTATTTTAATTAACAATTTGATAGCTATTTTAATAGAACATACATATTCTATTCATTATTATGTTTTTGAAATAATGTATTGTACAATTTAAAGTACTATCACTATATTTAAAAAAGTAGTTTAATTATTTATTGTCTGTACTAATTTTATGATAAATTTTAGTATTTTGTAGAAACCTTATATTTGTGTCTATCTTCATAAATGGTTACAATAGTTCATGAAAAAAGAAAAAAAATGATTAATTTATTTTTTATACATTTAACACTAATTTTTTAATAGTTGATTGATAACATTTATTATTATTTATAATAAAAGTTGATTAGGAATCTACTTAAATTAATTATCATTATTTTAAAAAATTAATAATTTAACTGACATAACTATTGAATATATTTTATTTCTATTCTTTAGATTCTTAATTATCCTGAATGCTTAAATGCTAATTATTAGGGAACAGACTTTATTGTAATAAAAAAATCAAAATATGTAAGTACTGAAAAAGTGTATTAGTATTGAAATTTACAAAAAAAAATAAAAAAAATATTTTAAATAAAAAGAATACTAACGATTTAGAATTTAGATGTATATGAGTTTCATTCCGGAACAAAGCAATGATAAATTAAAAAATATTGTTGAAGGTTTGCTAATGAAAAGTTGCGGCAGTTTGATTAGAGAATACTTATGTATTGCCTGGAAGACCATTCTACATCAACAAATGTAGTAGGGGCATAATCAGAGCTTGCGTTTGAAAAAAAAAATTTAGTTTTACATTATTTACAATTAAAACATTATACCAAGTGTGAATTTATCGTAATTCAGAATTAAAATTTTTAATATATTTTATAAATTATAACTATTAAATAATTGGAAGTTAATTATTTCATTTAATGATATACTATAATTAATGTTTTGTGTTATATTTTGTTTTATGATATATATCATATATTTAGTTTTGTGTTATTTAACTATTTATGTTTATCGTTCTTAGTTATAATTACGTTACAAATCTCAATTATTTTTCGTCAAATATAACGTTTGCAAGCTCTGGGCATAATTCATGTTAACTATATTAGGAGTAAAATTCAATGTTCAGAGATCCTTGTTGATTTTTACTAATTAAAATATCTGTCATGATTTTAATAGTTTGAAATCTAGAATTTTTTTCAATTGAAAAATTTATTTTTGACTATCTCTCACATGTGCCCTTGAGTATTTTTTAATTTATCAGCAGAATTTTCTACAATGCTAATACTTTTTATCAAAGACATGTTTTTAGTTTCCAATAGTTAAATTGTCTGAATTAAAAAACAAACATTTGCAGTAATGTATGTCAAATTGTTTTTTAAATTAATATTTTGCATCAGTGAATTTGCTTTTTCAATACCTTCGGCCGATTTAGTATTGAAATGTCATTTAAGTAACTTATAATATTTGGTGGTTATCAAAAATTACTTATCTTGTTAATTTATGCAAAGCAGATAATGTTTATGATTTTTGAGAATTAATAAAAATTACTAAAATATGTATTTACTAACCAAATATGTAAAAATATGTATTTATTCCATAATATTTAAAAACATGTAAAATAACTTTGAGTTTATTTTAATTAGAATGATCTAAATTGTACATATTTTTTATCAGATAAATAATATCTTATTCCAATAAAAATATGTATTTAGAGTAAAATCTGCTCCCTACTGATTATCCTGTTTTATTTATTTATATATTATATGAATGTAATGGTATAATACAGGGGTGGTCAACATGAATTAAATTATATTTTATTTATTTAAGTATTAATCCTATTCACTGATTTATTAGTGTTGTATGTTACAATGATTATTCTAATCTATATATTTGTATTTTATATTTTAAATTAACTTTACTTAAGAGGATGTCATATGTATTGTCTAAGTGTATGATAAATTTAGATTGTAAATAAAGAATTAATAAAAAAAAAATATATAAGGTAAATTTACACTAATATTGAAGTAACAGTTTCAAATGGATTTTACTGAACACAAATTTACTGTGCTCTTTTATTAGTATGACTTAAAAAACATATGTAGGTACAACGTTCTCTTAAAATAATGAATTAAGATACATAATTCAATGTATAATATTATTCCGGTGGTTCAGTTTTGACGATTTATGAATGTATAATACATCTCTTTAATTACTAATAAATAATAACAGATTATTTTTTTTCTAGAATTTTCAAAAGGTATGATTTTACCTAAAAAAGATATTGAAAATCTTTCCAAAACAAAATTGTCTAAAGATTCTATCAAAAATCTTCACAATTCTGATAATGTGAGTCTTATTTAGTTATAAAAAATGATTTAACTAATTAATTTAATAAATACTTATTATTTTTATAGGGTGCAAAAGAAGATAATTCAAAATCCAAAGTAGATACTACTACTGTTGTAATGGATGTAGTATTTCAGTGTTCTGGTGAAGATTTTTACAATGTGCTCACAACACCAGATGTCAGTATATTAGTATATTAGTGTTATAACTTATAAATAAATTAAATAGTTGAAAAAAATTGTAAACTATTTCTTTTTAGCTTGTTTCAGCTTTTACTCAACAATCTGTCACATTTCAAGCAACTAAAGGTGGGAAATTTCAATTGTTTGATGGAAATATTACTGGTGAATTCATAGAACTTGTAAGTAAATTTAATTTCTATAAAGGTTGTTATTAACATAATTTTTGTTATTTGCTTAGTGTCCTGGAAAAAAAATTGTTAAAAATTGGAGAACCAAACAGTGGCCTGATTGGCTATATTCCACCGTTACTGTTATTATTAATCAACAAGAAGACCATACTAAAGTTAAAGTTACTCTTGTGGGGGTGCCTAAAAGGTTATATATATTTAAATTGTTTTTTGTTGAAACCATTTATTTAACATTTAATTTTTTTTAGTGATGAAGCTATTACTCGTCAAAATTGGGAAAGATACTACTTCACACCAATTAAAAGAACGTTTGGATATGGGATGTTATTATAAGTCTGAACAATTCAATAAATTCTTAAATATAGTTTTTTGTATTTATTTTTGAAATGTAATAGCTTGTCTATCAAAAAAATATGTACTTCACTTTCTTATGTGCCTATTGATATTTGTTGTTTCATAATATATTCTTCATAGATAATCATACTCTTTCTTAAATAAGATTTGTTTAAATTTCTGTCACATAAATTCAAGTTATTCAACAGAATTAAAAATAAAAAAAACTGTTTTTTAAATTCTAATTTGTTTTTTATTTATTTTCAATATTGAAACCAATTATCCATTATATTTAATATTTAGTAAGTATTTTTTTATAATTTATAAAAATTACTATAAATGAGTAATTTTCCAAATTAAATTAATTTAGGTGGTGAATGGAAAACTGGTGGGGGCATTTCTGGACATTTTTGCACCAAATCCTTCATATTTGAACATTCTGAACCTGTTAATATAATACAGATGTTTTATTAGTGTAAACCATTTCTTTAAATCTACTTACTTTCAATCCATATATTTTTGGGGCAGTTCTGAAATTATAAACAAGTTAGTATAAGTAAATATATATATTTTATATTGTATCTATTATCTATGATAGTCATTTACAAAAAGCAAAAGGTAGACCAGTTTGTTTCAATTTATAATATATTTAATAAATATGTATATTATATACTTTTTTCTATTTGAACCAAATTTTTATTTTTAGATTTAATATACTTTTAAAATTATTATTGTACCTTATTTAATATTGTTGACACATTTTAAAAATTATTTATATTATATAATGTATAATTTACAATATATACTATATTTTTAATGCTTTTTGCCTAATATTCTACTAAACATTACATGGTAATTTACAGAAATTATTTCTTATGAAATACGCATTAATGTGTTTTATGTTAAAATATTTTCAGTTTTTAGTCAAAACTTTTAACCCATTTATTTGTGTATTGCACATTACTTACTATTGAGTCTAATAGTATATATCCTTAATTTTGTAAAATCCATTCAAATATGCTGATTATTACAATTTTAACAGTATTTGTTCAAAATTAAATATAATTATTAAAATTAAAATTTGAGTTATAGTAGTACTTAATATAGGTAACGCTTTAAAATTAAAAATAACATTCTTTAATTGTTTTTAAAAAATAAGTTTTACCATGAAAATATCTCTCAAGAAACACTTCATCAATCTTCCTGCTGGAGTGTTCATCATTATAATTTGTTTTTTATCTTCTTGTTTGACTAAATCAAAATATTTATGTTTTAATTATTAATGATACCTACTAAATACTATTAATATTAATTCACCGTCATTAAAACATTTATTGAGAGTATTCTGCCATATAGACTTCCATTTTTCATCATTGTTCATTCCTTCAGCCATTTTTTTTATAATAGCATTTTCATTGAGTTGTCCATCACTAGTCTATAGTATTAAATTAATTTTCTAATTTATTTTTTCTTTTATTTCAATATAATGTATTTATTTTATACTTACAGCTAATCCAGATTGCATGAAAATACATTGAAAAAGACACGGTGGCTCTATAATTTTTAAATTTATGTAAACATTTTTATGCATATTCAATAAATATGTTAAAAGAGAACATACATTAATATATTTTTAGATATTCAGTATAGATTTCCTTGACTAAGTAACTACTTTTTCATTGATAACGAATGTGAAGATCAAAAGCAAAAGTTAGTATTCTTATTTATTACATCATAGAATTGATTTGTTATATGTTATGATAATGTTTATATTATAAACATTCTACATATCTATTATTAAGAATTTACGATACAAAATTAGAGTAAGTTACCATAGCTCAAGCTATTATATATTTTAAAATTATAGTTTGAGTAGTTATAGTGTTAGACACTATATATCATTACTGCAGTGATGATTTATTGAGTATTTGAGTTATGAATGAAGTTAATATCAATTTCTAATCACCTTTTCCATGTGCCATTTCCTTGTATTCTTTTGTTTCAGGTTTATCCTTAAATTGTTTAAACTTTTCAAAACATACTTCCCAAGCATTGTCCAAGCCAGGTAATATATTTGGCATTTGACAACATCTAGGTAATTTCTGTTTAAATATAATATAAATAAAAATACACTTTCATTTATAATAAAATATGACTTCTAAATAATTGGTTACTTATAGATATTTTCACCTTTTAGAAAAAAAAGTTATATTTATCTATTCAAATTTTAATTTCAAAACCAACCATATTACTAATACCTACCCAATATTTACTTTTTACGGAATACATTTTCAGAATAGTTTTCAGTAAAGATTATTGAAATATTTTATGTAGCTGATGTACGTATCTTACTGTAAAATTGGTTGCATTCATAATTAATAAATAATATTGTCCATTACCCACAAGTTATAAACATGATAGTAGCTTTGGAGATCTGCAATAAAACCATTTTTAAATAGATGCCCACCAACCACTAAGCCACCTAGGTATTTCTATTAAGGGCTACCTACACGTATAAACTGTAATACCTACCTACTTCCATAGATAGGTAAATAATGAATGTTTTGAATTGTATTAGCTATCATAAAAATTTAAAATTTATTGTAATCATATCTATTTATATCGAACCAACTTGCAGTTATATATTCTTCGTAATTTCTATTATAATATACCTACCTATAATTATTTTTTTATCGTTTAGTTTATTTTCATAAAATAAATAGGTAAAAAATATTCTCTTAAAAAATTTGTAGTACCTACTATGAAATTATCTTATTAATGATTAAGTAATAATTTCAATAGGTAAGGTACCTACTTATAGTTCTTACTAAGATAATGCCTTATAAACTATTAGTGCAAACGATATATTGTAATTGTAGTGGGGCCCCCTATCTCTTTGAAATAGTAAGTTCTTTGGCCCCGTTGGTTAATATTACGAATATCAAACTATCAAAGTACCAATCATAAATGACATAAATGAGTAATTACGTTTAGATGATAGGTAGGTCGTAGGTACTATCTACTTAGTTAAATAAATTTGTTTTTTCATCAAAAATATTAGGATTAGTAGAAGAGACCAAAACTGACTACAGTCTACAGCACTACATTATTATCTGCCATGATAAATTACCAAATATTGGAAGTTATCGATGTTACATATGCTGGTGGATGTGTATTAAACGGTTAATAAATCTAGAAGAATAACGTTGCTCTTAAATTAAATTATATTTGTTATAAAAACAAGAGAATGTTTTTATTGCCTTAGTTAAACACGTACAAAAATATAAAAATTTACAATTTAATTGAAATAAAATAATTTTTTAAATAATGACAATATTAATTTATATAATTTTACAAAATAATCTTAACTGAGTATTTTAAATAATTTTATAATGCTATAATTATAATAATAATATACGTATATTTTATATGATAAAAAAGTATTTTAAAGTTTAAAATCATTTTTTTTTCAGACCTTTTCCTTGGACACCTTTCGGTTGATCTAACTGTTATTTCTGAATTATTATTAGATAAGTATAAGTTAACTTAATATACCTTCTAAATATTATTTTCATTCCTATGTTTATTGTATTATGGTAATACTGTAATAAAAAATGAACTATTTTGTTTTAATGTTGAATACCTATACTTAAAAATATATAGCTGATTATAGTTTTTAATCTTAATATTATTTGTTTTTTCAATAAGGGGATATTCATTATATCCTTTCAGTAATTTATATAACATTTTTTTATTTGAGACTTAATTGATTTAAAATAACTTCCTAATTTACATAAATCGTGACTGCTGTGGAAAATCCATGGGGCCCAGGGGCCTTCTCCAGACCTCTTCAACAGTCTTTTTGTTTAGACAATTATTCTAAATTGTGAAATTGTGTAATAATGTATAATAATTGATTAAATTAATTAAATAAGCGTAGATAAGATTTTGTATTATAAAGATATTTTAAAATAAAATAATTAAAAATTACTATAGGTAATTAACATAAACGATTCCTAACCTAACCGTAATAAAATTGACGTTCCCTTAACCATTTCTTTCAAATTTTTAGGAACACGTAAACCAGAACATTATGATGTAGGTATATATGACTCAAAATACAATTTTTTTAGGAGGTCCCACAAAATTTAACCCGGGATCCGTCATCATTACATGAATTTGGACTTTTTAGTTAAGTTCTTATACAAAAATTCCACTTCAGATTATTTCATTAATCTACCACTTAAATCTATTGACAATTAATCTTACATTAATACTTTATTTGAAAATTTTGACAATTCCACTACTATTACAAAATACTTTCGCGTTGTAAACTTTTTAACCCTACGCCATAAAAAAAAAAAAAAAATTAATTAATAAATTATCTGTGATAAAAATTATAATATATTTTTATTTTTTTTTTGTTTATTTTATATCGATAATTTAAAAAATACCTCGACCAACTACAAGACAACAGTGAAGCTTAAGCTCACATAATATGTATCTATCGCTCTATATGTAGGCTATATTATGTCAAACATATATTAAATGGGTGGTGAGAAAGAGTAAAATAATCTTATATAGTCATATAAATAATATATTTATGGTAATTTATCATTAAAATATAACTTTAAATGTACTAATAGATTAAATTTTAAAATCGACATAAATTATGTGGGTGTTAGATATGTTTATATCCTTAATTTATTTTTTACTTCGGCTTCACTTTTACATAATTATGAACAAAAAACGAAAAATTCAATTTACTAAAAAGATTCGCAGATTAGTACTTGGTATTTAATTAAGATCATACACTTTACAAAAAAGATAGGTTTTACTTTTGATCAATATTTATTATATATTTATACCTTTTCCGGGTTTGGAATGAGAGTTCGGCATTCATCATCATTTGTCATTCGTTTTTGGCGTGAAATCCATATACTCTCGTACCCAACAGTCTATATAAAACCACATAACTTATAAGATATTTTTTTCGTACTTACTTTGTTTTTTTGTTCTTAATTAATCCTTTTTATTTATTTATTTTTTTTATAAATAAGTATGTTTTAACATAGGTACTTACAAATACTGTTTGGCAGATAATTGCAAAAACACATATCAAAACCACTTTTTGCATTTTAACCGTTAAATTAATATCTCATTAAGTTTAATTGATAAGTGAAAACTAGAATAGTTAGAACTTCTAAACTGAATACTAAGTACAGATTTATTATTTTCTCGTTTTTAAACAAAATTGTTGTGTTTTATCGTTTTATGTAAAAAATAACAATACAGACTATATATATATATATATATATATATAGTAAACTATTATAACTATTAAATCTTTGTCAAGGTCTCTAATTGTTATTGTTTCAATTGATAATTGTTTATTCATTGTTAAGATTAACTACAGGAAACTAGAAAGGACATGGTTACCTACTTATTTTGAGCTACAACATAGTCTATATAGGCTATAACAATTAATAAGTAAATATATACACATTGTAAATTGTTTAAATTGTTGGAAAACTTAAATAATGTTCTCTAGTATTTAGTAATAATTATGTTAGTATTTTAACCTGTAATTGTTGACATACTAATATTATTTTAATATGAATTAATATTGATGTTCCTCGTACAATATGCTACAAGGTTATAGCCGTTATAGGAAGTTAAATATGGTCCTCAACAATCATAAATAACACCAATGCTTTTTATTAATATTTCAAACCATGAAGTAGGTAGTACAGAACAAATATATATATATATATATATATATATAGAAAGTACCTACTAACACTTTCTGATTGGCTTATTGGTCATCTAAAATTTATTTGAACATTAAAAATGAAAAATGTGTAGGTATCTTTTATTATCTATAAATTATTTCATCATAGTTAATCATTTAAAAATAATTGCAATGTTATTTAAATGCCAAATGGTAGATAATTTTTTTAAATAAAATATAAATTATACATATTTTACAAAATGTATTGTTATCCTAATTATATACCCTATTTCAAAACTCAATTAAAATATAGTAATTATTTTTTAACATCAATAACAATCTGTAAAACTAATTCTTTTGATTAAAAAAAATATTTTTACTAATGAGTAATGATTAAATGATGAATGCTCTTTAATAAATAATCATTAAATACAAACTAATTTTCTAAATATTTCTAGTTTTAAATTGTTGATTAAATTATTAAGATTACCTACTTAAACTACCTAACTATTAATACTTATTTATTAAATATATAAACATTAATTAAAATTATATTTATAATAAAGTTTATACTTGACGTAGTTTTAACAGATTTATTATTGTATTTTTAAATTCTCTATATTAACTATATATTAGTTCCGAATGACGTCAACGCGCCCGTTCCCACGTGTTTAAACGAATGGATCAATAATGTTCGAACTTTCAAAGCTTCTCACCAGGGTTCACCACATGCATCAGTCTTAAGTTCCATACGGAACTTTTTCGCTTACAATCATTTAAATATAATATGTATATCAAAAATTGAAACTAAATCGCATTTTATGCAAAAATCCTTAAACCATGTTTGAGGGTATTGTTGCATCGTTATTGAACAGATACTTGGGCAAGTATATAGAAGATTTGGACTTGGAAAACTTAAATGTGGGCATATTCGGAGGAAATGTTTTTTTATCTAATTTAAAGTTAAAAACTGAAGCATTGGTAAGGCATTTATATTTATTGATACTTAAATAAAAAATATTATGATCGTTTTTGATTTTAGTATGAGTTTGGATTACCTATAGAAGTGAAAGCTGGATCAATAGGAAAATTCAATGTGAACATACCATGGAATGGACTATCCAGCCAACCAATAGTTATAAAAATTGAAGTATATAATTATAATTTAAATATAAATTTAAAATATATACTGTTATCAATTAATTCAAATTTAGGAAATATTCATAGTCGCCGGGCAAGTTATTGATAGAGAATGGGATACGGAATTGGAAAAACGTTTGGCAAGAGCTGCAAAGAAAAGAATTTTAGAAAGCATAGACAATTTATCAATATTTGGAAATGGTTAGTATGAATATTATAGTAATTAGTTTCTAATAATTAATAGCAGGTACCTTCCTAATATTTTATAATTTTGAAAAATTATATTTTATTTATATGTATACATAATTAGGTTTGATAGAAAATGGCGGGTTTCTTGAAACTCTTATAACAACTATCATGAATAATTTGCAAATTTATATCAGAGGTATTCATATTCGATTTGAAGATTCAGTGACTAATAAAGATTCACCAAGAGCTCTAGGCCTATGTATACAATCAATTTCATTGGAAACAACCAACAAGTTATAGATTATATTTTATTTTAATTTGTTATTAAACTGATATTCTTTTTTAATTTCAGCAAATGGAAACCAATTTTGTCACAGCAACCTGGGCAGACTTCAGTGTATCAAATTGTCAAAATTGATTCTGCTTCATTTTATTGTAATACAATGTGTTCAACTTTATTGTATACTAATAAAACTATGGTATCAGATTGGCAAGATTTAATGAGATCAGGTCTTAATAACTTTAACATTAATGAAGAACCCTTGGAATTTAGTGAGTATTTCTATTTACAAGTTACTTGATATAATACTTGTATATGTAAATTAAATTCATTAATTTTTGTTTGATTAGTATTGAAGCCAGTCGTTTTAAAAATAAAAATTATTGTCAATAAGTCAAATGAAGTCAGAGTTCCTAAATTACTTGTTGACTTTGTTCTCCAAGATGCAGCTTTACAAATGTCTAGGAAACAGTTTGTAGCACTGATGGAAACCACAGAGTTTATGAAATTAGCAGAGATTAATAGGTTAATTAATTTATAATAGATTAATATAAAATATTTATTAAATGCATAACTTTATTATCTATTTATTTCAATTATGCTTATACAAATCATAATTTTTTAAGTCAAAATGCAATTTTATAACAATATATATTATTTGAATAAAATGAGTGAAAATTCAATTGATCAGATAAATAATATATATAAATTAAATATAGTTAGTTATATAGAACAAAAATATTAATATGTAGAGTAGAATAATGTATTAAAATAAGTAATAATAAATATAATAGTAAGCAGATAATCTAACTATGCATATTATAGAACAAAGATATAAAGTTTAATGTATTTACAATCTATTAAGTAAATACATTATATTTACAGTATATTTTAATTGGTTTTCCATGCCTACTATAGATTATATCGGGATGTTCGCCCTACAAATACTGACCTAAAAGATAATAAAAGTTGGTGGATGTATGCCTATAAATGTGTTTTACGACAGAGAGTTACATTTCTATGGAGCAAAATTAAAAAACATAGGTAAATATTCATTTAAATAAATGAAAAATAAAAATAAAATTACATTTGTTTAAGTTTAAATTATTTATTTATGTATGTTTCAGAAAAAATTATAAAAGTTACATAAATGTGTTTAAAAAAGTTCTTGTAAATCCAAATGATACTGAATTAAAAATAGATTTGCAAATGCTTGAAGATGAATTGGATATTTTTAATTTAGTCTTGGCTAGAGAACATGCTAAAATTGAGGTTTGGTACTAACATTTTTTTACAAGAAGTTGTATTAAATTTACTTTAAATAGCTTTGTGAAGAAAATCCGGAAAGTGTTACAATTCAAGAATCTCAGCCAAAATGGTGGGATCCAATAAATGCTAAGCCCAGGTACCGTCTATGTTTAACATCTGATAAATCTAAAACATTTTGGAATTTACTTAGTCAATCAGAAAAAGATCGACTTAATGATTTACTATATAAGACTGGTGGATCAGAAACCCCTAAACATGATAAACCTAAGCAATACATAGGTATGTGTGTAAATTACAATTGTTATTTATTATTAGTACAATAATATAAATTAATTTGTTTAGAACATAAGATAAACTTAACTATAGCTAACTGTCTAGTTAGTTTAATAAGTGGTTCTAACGAATTAATGGTAATTACAATCGGCCATTTAATGAGTAGTCTTGAAACTAGACCATCTGCTAAAGCATATAAGATTTCTACTAGAATTGAAAGTATAAATGTAGAAGCTCCTGTTGAGTATAGTTTGGTTTCAATAATTGATACATGTGCGATGAGAGGTAAATATTTTGTAATTAAATTTAAAATGAATTACTAAACCTATAAATTTACTAGGAAATTCATCAAAATATTTTTTGAGTATTGACTTTGAAAAAAATCCACTCAACTCAGAAGCAGATTATGGATTGAATATTACATCAGAATCAATAGAAGTTGTATATCATGAAGTAAGTTTTTAATTCAAAATTTATTATTTTTATAAAAATTGTCTATATTTTTTTTTATACAGTTTGCCATATCTGCATTACTTAGCTTCTTTTATTACAATCAAAAAATAAACATCGAATCTGCTATTGAAAAGTTTTCCCATACAATTTCTAAAACATTTGTAAAACTATTTAATTCAAACAGACCAGAATCCAAGTTTAGAAAAATTCTATTAAACGTTGATCTTCAATTACCATGTGTTGTACTTCCAGAATTTGGCTCCATTCAAAAGTATGTAATATTTTAATTTAAAATTTGAAATTAATTGAACTTATTTTAAATTATAATGTATTTTATGGTAGGGGTGAAAATATAATGGTGATTGATTTTGGTGGCCTTAAAATCAAAAGCGACTTACAACCAGAAACTATTTGTTTAGACGATGTCACACAAATGGAAATGGAAGAAAAACTCTATGATCGATATCATGTTGATATTGATGGGTTTCAATTAATATTTTGTAATTCAGGTTAATATTTTTTTTTAATTAGGTTCACAATTTTAAAACTCTTATGTTTATATGTTGTATTTTTATAAGTATTACATATTATTATGGTTTAGTTATTAAAATATATTAATATAAATGTGTTTGTATACTGTGATTTTTAGAAAATGATTGGAGAAGTTTAAAAAATCAAATGGATTCAGCATCACACCTTTTGGGAAAGACCATTACACAAATTGTCATATCAAATAGCATAAGACCAGAATACAAACAATTAGCAAAAAGAAAAATTAATATATCTGTACAAAGTGTTAGGCTCAACTTATCTGATCAAAAGGTTGACTCCATTTTAGACTTTATTGAAAATACACCAATACCTACAAACCATATTTCTTTAGCAACATTAAAAAAACATTATAGCGATGATGATGAAATCTATG